GATAAAATTGTAACTGCATCGGAAAACAATGCATCAACTGAAACTCAAATAAAACCTCATGAAAAAAATTATAGAAAAAGAAATAATTCCGATGATCAGGATGAAAATGAAAAGAAAACTAAGTCAGGGAGTAGTAGTTCTAGCTCAGATAGTGAAAGTAGTTCTGATTCATCATCAACATCAAGTTCAAGCGATGAAGAAAAATCTGAAGAGAAAGAATCGTCATCACAGTTAAATAAAATTACAGCTCCCGAGGATAGGCTACCTTTAAGAGATTTAGAAAAAAATGAAAAAGAAGACAATGAAGAAAAATCATTGCCTAAAATTGCAGAATATTGTAAAGAAGAAATAAAATCTGATAAAGATGATAGAATAAAACATATGTTTAAACCTTTAAAATCAGATGATAAAGATAGGAGAGAAAGAAATTATAGAATTTCAAGTAACGAAAAGGATAGGGGAAATAGAAACAACTATAGAAGAGATAGGGATGTAAGAGAAAGAGATAGATCAAGAGATAGGTCAAGAGATAGATCTAAGGACAGAGACAGAGATAGAGATAGGGATAGAGATAGGGACAGGGACAGGGATAGGGACAGAGAGAGGGACCGAGATCGCGACAGAGATAGAGACAGAGACAGGGAAAGAGATAGAGAAAAAGATAGAGACAGAGATCGAGACCGAGACAGAGACAGAGATAGAGATCGAGATAGAGATCGAGACAGGGATAGAGAAAGAGACAGAGATAGAAGAGAAGATAATAAAACACATTTTAGAAGAGATACAAAAAAAAATAATGATTTTCGAAAGAGGAGAAGCAGAACTCCTGAAAGTAAAAAAGGTGGATTTAAATCAAGAGAACAAAGTTTGGAACGTGTTAGAGAAAGAAAGGACGGAAAGGATTATAAGGAAAATCAAAATGGTTCTCAAGATAAGAAAAGAGAATCATCAGAAACTAAAGGGGTTGAAGTTAAACAAGGTGAAAATAAAAAAGATGTTAACGATTTGCCCAGGATATCCATTTGGGAGAAAAGAACAATAGGCGCAGTGTTAGAAGAAGCTATTGAGAGGTATAAACTAAGGAAAGCAGCTATTAAAGGATCATAATTCTAAAGGAAAAGTATCTTATATAAATGTAATAGACTGATTTTTACTTCATTTATACTTTAAAAAAAAAAAAAAATTAAAATAAGCATTTATTTCTACATTTCCTTTTTATTGTAATAATTTTTTTAAAAAAATTTTTATTTACAATACCTGCACAAACTTTTTATATGTACACTAGGAATATAAAATTTTCCAAGTTAAAAAGTTACCAAATACAGATAAATCCAAAAGAAAACTGTATTCGATTTTAAAACAACAACAAAACTAGATTTAATAAGCCCAACATATTTCAATCGTTATCATCCCCTTACATTAAGGGAAAGTCATAAAAAAATGCATGATTCAGTTTTTTATCATTTATAAAAACAAAATTTATTCATTAAAAAATACTAAAAAAAAAAGAGACTTTTTGTTTTGATAATTTAATGTAAATATTTTTAATATGTTTAATTAATTATTTTCAGGAAATGGTAGTAGTCTTTTGTTAACTTTACTTAAAATTTGATATGGAATACTTTCATAAATGGATTCATTAGGATTTGTTTCATCCAGATTATACCTAAAAATATACAGTTAATATTCATGTTTCCCATTGTATTTTGTGTGAAATTTTATAAATTTTTTTTTAATTTAAAGCATTAAAAAGTTATTTCAATTGATAATATTGAATAAGTTTAAATTTTTAATTTGATTTTAAATGCATTAATTATTATTAAAACTTACCGAAAAATAATTTAATATTTTTTTGAAATTTTAAACAGCACTTATTTAAATTTATTTTTCTATTATTTATAATAGTAATATAAATATTTTTTATATTATTTATCAACTTAAGTTTTACTGCTTTAAATAGTAATAGAAAATAAACTTTCTAAAAAACTTACTTTAATGAATAAAAAAATTTAATAGCAGGTAAATTATGTTTCAATACAGTCAAAACAACTTTTTTCATGTTATTTTTAAATGCTATTAATTCGAGAATTTGTAGAAGAAATTTTCCAAGACCTTTTCTCTGTATTGAAGTATCTAATTGTAATTCATAGCTAAAAAATATTGCAAATATTGTAATTTAAACTAAAATAGTTAAGCAATTTTTTTTAGCATATACTTGTTTATAAATATTTTACCAGTATAAAACTTCGCTTCCATAATCCATGTCAAAACGAAAGTGAGAGAAACCTACAATGTGATCATTTTCATCAAAAGCGACTAAATATTTTGCTGAACTTTCTTTCATTTCTTTGTACTTTTTCTCTTCTTGCCAACCCCAAGAACAAGAATTGTACCTTAAAAAATTAATTTTCAAAAAGTCTTTTTAAAAATGTTTAACAATTTTATAATTGTATAAAAAAAAAAAATCATTCAAGTGATTTAAAAAAAAAAAAAAAATTATCTAAATGTAATTTTATGTTTTTAAACCCAAATATTTAATTCGTACATGATTTCCATATTTTTTTTCATTAGGCAGAAAATTTCTGAGAACATTTGTTCATTAATACTATTAATACTGTAATATTCTATACGAATTTTAATATCATCTTTTTGAAAATTTTTAAAATCAGGTAAATCAGTTAACGGATTTTCTATTTTATTAGCTTTTTCTACGGCTCTTAGAGCTTCCTTAAGACGTAATTTTTTTTCTTTTCGAATTTTTAAAGCATTCTTTCTTTTTTTTTTTACCTAGAAAAAAAAATTTAACAAATTTAACTTTGTAAAATAATTACTTGATAAGATTCTAACAACTAACCTCCATAATTATTTATTTTAAAAAATTTTCTAATATAAAATTACTTAAAATTTTAAAAATGCTTTAAGAAAAAAAAAAATTTTGTTCATTTTTTAGGGTTACTTAAAAAATCTAATGTCTTTCTAGTTAAATTGAAATTAAATACGTTTTTCTTTAGGACAGGTAGAAGTTAAATAAAGTAATTTAAAAATCTACCATATTGGCCATTATAAACTTTAATGGCGAGTACTATTGCCACGATGAGCTCGTAATTTCAATGGTCTTAGAAATTTATTTACGAGCAGCATGAGTGACGACGATAGAGATATTGATATTGAAAGCGATGTAAGTTAGTTTTATTAACTTAATAATAAAATGTTAATGATTGATATTTCTGTGTGCAATTTTTAAATTTAATATTTTTAATTTTTTTTTATTTATTAGGAAGGTGAAGAAAGTGTTGATTCAGATACTCGATCTCATCGTTCCGTTAATGGCAGCCAGTATTTGTCGCAGGTAACTATTTTATTACTTATATTATAATATTTTGTCCAATTATTTTGTCTTTGCAATTTATTTTTCAACGATTGCTTACTTTTTCAACAATATTGTATGATTTTTTTCTGAAAAAATTCAATATTTGCATAGCAGTGAATAAATAAAAAAAACTTATTTGTGCCAATGGGTTGAAAACGTCATTTGACCTCTACACATGTGCGTGACCTCCTTGTTGATAACTGTTTTGGCAATATTAAGTTTTAAAAATTATTTAAAACTATTTTCAAATTTTTATTACATTTTTTTTTTTTAAAATAAATATAATCCTAGGAAATGATTCTTTTGTTTTACAATAGCCAAAAATTTATCATTAAAGTTAAATAAATTAACAGCATTAATTATGATAAAATTAATTTATGTATTAAACATATTAATCTTAGGCTGAAAAAAGAGCTCATCATAATGCTTTAGAGCGTAAAAGAAGAGATCACATTAAAGATAGTTTTAGCAGCTTAAGAGATTCAGTACCAGCTCTTCATGGAGAAAAAGTTGCAAGCAGAGCTCAAATCCTTAAAAAAGCTGCCGAATATATTCAGTATATGAGAAAAAAAAATACTGTTTGTCTTCAAGACATAGACGATTTAAGAAGACAAAATGCATTACTTGACTCTCAAAGTAATTATTATATTTCTTTGATAAAAAAATTATTTAGAGAAATATTTGAGAATAGTCTTCAACTGATTTTCGTATTAAAAAAATAAATAATTTTTTTTTATAGTACGTACATTAGAAAATGCTAAAAGTACGGGAAATTTTGCTGCAGAAGCAAGTGAAGTTACACTTAATAGTTCAAAGTCTGATTCTTGTTATCCAAGAGAATCTGAGTCTGATACATCAGATTGTGAACAATCTAGGACTGTTAGGCATCCTAAAAAATTGAAAGTCGGTAATGGAAACTTACATTGATGGTAAGTAAACTATAAATTTTTTTTTTTTTTTTTACTATGAAATAATACTCCATCGTGTAAAAGAACTCCACTTAAAATTTACTTCTTAATAATTATAATAGTGTGTATAATATCAAGTATTTAAAAAGACAGTATCAAACAGTTTTACATAAATAATTTTTCCAGGCTTTTTTGTTCAATGGAAAGGAATAAACAAAGCTAAAGACATGTGTCACTTTATTATTATCATCATCATCTATTTAAAGACTTGATGAAAATATTTATGTAGAGGGGGTAGTTAATTCAAATTATATTAAAGTAGATTTAATGATAAAGATAAAATTTCAGTTCTTACATTAATTAATTTGGGAATAATTGTTTATGTCTCCGTTTTATTTTAATTTTAAAGAGTAAGGTTTATGCTGGGTAAAAATTAATTCAAATTTTTTTTATCATGTGAATGTTGCCTATTAACTCAATTTTATGCAAGTAACCTGTCTATTAACTAAAAAAAAAAAAAACTCGAAAAACATTTTAATAATTTAATATATTACATTATTTCCAATTCGACTAGTACCTATTAAAAAAAAAAAGAATTTTGTGATTTAATTGTACATATTTTAACATTTTGATTGTTTTATTTTTTCCGGTTTGATTATATAGTTTTAAAAGGTTCCTAATGAAATAGATAATTATAAGAAAATATTTTTATTTAAACATCTTTTTCATCAACATCTCGATATTTATACTTTAGTTACTTTTACTTTTAGATTTACTACATTTTAATATTTAGTCGATTGTGTCAAAATATTATAAAGTATTGAAAAAAAAAAAAAATTTTTTTTTTTGTCGTTATATTTGAATCTCATACAACTCGCATTCAATTATTTTTTTCCTTTTTTTAATTTAGTAATTTAAATTTTAATACATGTCGAAATTAGTTAACATAAATTTGTTTTTTAAAAAAATTTTTTTTTTTTTCAAACCTTATAATTTGAATTGCTTTTCTATTTTTGTAAGATTATTCGAAATGAAATCGATTAGAGATTAAAATTTAAATTAACCCTTTTTTTTTTTTTTTTTTTTAAAAAGTCTCATTCGAGTTTTTGTATTAACCCCTTATTAAAAAAATTGTTTACCGATGTGATATTATTATTATAACAAATAGTTATTATTATTATTATTATTATTATGACGTTTGATATAGTGATAATCTGTTTTAATGAAAAAAATAAATTTTATTAACCTTTTTTTGTAAATTATTTCAATATTCTCAATAAGAGACTTGTTTGTGTTTTTTTTTTTTTTTATGTTTTTTAAACAGGTTTACTTATTATTATTACTATCATTTTTTTTTTTATTCTATTTTTATTTTTACATTGGGCATATTCAAATATTGCTAGATATCAATATGTTTACTATTACTACTACTACTACTACTACTACTACCACTACTACTACC